CCAGTGCTGGTACTGCTCCAAGCTGCTAGGGGTCTTGACTTTCCCGGAGCCCTGGGCTCATGTCGAGCTGCCTGGCCTCTTATTGGAGGTGCTGGAAGCAGAGCTGGGAACCTCTCAGGTCACTGCTCAGATCCTTGCTGGAGCGAGGGAGCCTCTCCTGTTGGCCACAGCCTCTCATAGGCAATCCTGGAGCCCAGCAGGAGCCTCTCCTGCCAACCACATGCTGCGCTGCTGAGGGTCCAACTGCTGCCTGCAGGTCCCACTCCTTCAGGCTCTTCTGGGGCAACAGCTCCCACCCCGCTGGCCCAGCTCTTTGAAGCTCCTTCCTTGTGGTCCCTCACTGGTCTCCCCTGAGTCAGCCACACTGCCCCTTTTATCCCCCACCAAGTAACCCAAAGGGCCAATCAAGGGACATGGGGGGTTAGTCTGTGGGGCCTGATTGGTGAGGAAAGGAAATCCCAAGTCCTCCAATCATCTTTTGCCCCTTCAAAACCCCTGGGCTAAGTCATTGCCGGCTAGCCCGTCACATCTATCTTGTCCAGCGGTCCTGTCGGCTTTCGCCTGGCATTGTCATGTTCAGCCTTATTCTAAAACATCTAGATAAATAATCTATTGTTATGTTAATAACTCCTGGTAGGTGTACTATACGGAATTTAAAAGGTTGAAGGGCCAGAGCCCACCTTGTAATACAGGCATTATCGGTTTTAGTTGTGGTCAGCCACTTTAGGGGAGCGTGGTCCATCACTAGTGTGAACTCCCTTCCCATTAAATTGTACTTGAAGTGTTCCACTGCCCAGCATATTGCCAAACACTCAAGTTTGATAGTGGCATTCCGTGTTTCCATGGACAGCAGTTTTTGGCTGGGATAGGCAACTGGCCTCTCTATCCCACCATCTTCTTTTGTCAGTACAGCTCCCACGGTGGTCTCCAACGCATCTGTCTGTAATAAGAAAAGTTTTTGAAAATCAGGCACATGTATCATCACATCCTCACATAGGGCTTTTTTCAGCAGCTCGAAGCTCTGTGTCATTTCACTCATCCATTTTATCCCTTTCACTCGTGGCCCCTTCAATGCTTCTGACAGCAGAGCTGCCAACTCAGAAAATAGTGGGACAAACCGTTGGTAATAATTGGTTAAGCCTAAAAAGAACTGGAGTGGTTTATAGGTCTGTGGTGCCTGGATGCCTTCCACTTTATCTGCAAAAGGCCTGATCATTCCTTGTCCTACAAGGAACCCTAAATATTTCGTTTGCCTTTGAGCTAAAGCACATTTTTGTGGGTTTGCCGTTAGACCAGCTTTTCTTAGTTCTGTGAGTACTGCATGAAGAGCTTGTT